TAGGCGAGGTCACAGTAGAAAACTACCTTCCTTAAAAATTTACCCTTACCTAACTAACTAGGACACAAGTTTATGCAAGAACAAAAAATCCAAGGCATTCAAACTACGACACGATGGGAGAAGAAAGTTAAACATAGAAAACCCAATGAGTTTTTGAAAAGTTGAAGAAATTGTTACGAGCAAAAGATAATGAGCGTTTTGTTAACCTTCTTGGGTGAATTAATCCCTATAATTTATAAAAGAGAAATGATGCTATAGGACCCTTTCCCATCCATGTGTGTAGGATTCTAAAAGATCACTATTAAATTTGGCATAGATCTATAAAAAAGTTAAGTCCCATACCTATATGATAACTTTTCTAGAGATCTGTACCAATTCTAATGGTAATCTTTTGGGGTCCTACACACATAAGTGGGAGAGGGTTCTATTGGATCATTACTCTTTATAAAATATTTAAAAGTTTATGTTAGGTTACTTCATATTTTATAATTATATTTAAAAAAATTTAGACACTTATATACTTTTATTTTATAATGTAATATTTTTTAACCATCATTAGGAGGTGTGTCATCATCGATATAGAGTGTGACATCACCCACATCGAGTACATTAGTTGCATTTAATGCTCTATGAGGTGTGACATCACTCTCATAGAGTATATTAGTTGCATTAAATGCTCCATGTAAGTGATGTCACATCCATTGGAATGACAAAAAATACTCTTATTAAAAAAATATTGTATTACAAAATAAGGGTATATAAATGTTTAAAATTTATTGATTAGAATTATAAAAGAAAAAGTTTTCTATGTGACCCCATCGACATATATAATATATGTGAACCTTGATCTCAACCGTCAAATCTGAGTAGATTGTTGACATGGCTTGAGTCACAATGTCACAAGCTAGCTCGTAACCGTTAAATCTTGATCCTACTGCTCATAGTTTTTATTTTTTATTTTTTATTTTTATTCTACAAATAATTTTGAGCAAAATTTGGGGCATGAATATATCTAACAAGGGCGCACATGATATAAAAAATAAAAAAATATTTCCGATTATAAAAAATTACCAAGATACTTTTAAAAATTACAAGGGCATTTTGGCCATTTATTTTTATAAAAAAATATTTGTTATTTATTTTTTCCAAGTTTGCTCTAGTTTTATAATGGGACGCCCAATATTTCATCAAAAAAAATTGTAGAAAAAAATAAAAAATAAAAAATAAAATAGTTTGGCATGACATTGTGATATAAACAATCGTAACCATTTGATTCAAATCGAACGGCTAAAAAGGGAGATCACATATAACTTATAATACCATCCCACAGGAAGTTGACTTCAAGTGCACTGTGTTATAATACCATCTAAATTGAAACCAAGACTCTCGCTGTTTAGGCTTTTGAAGCGTATGGCTTTCCATGTTTTTTTTGTTTTTTTAGACACGGTTTTCATGAGTCAATGTAGAAATGAGTCACCTCTTAAGATCTATTTTTTAGATGACTTTTGGACTTAATTTTTAAAGACATGTAATCTTTAACCTGGAGATCATGAACAAGAATAAATAAATAAAGTTTAAAAATTAAAAATAATAATTCTATTAAAAAAACATTTGGACCATTAGTTTCAATTGTTTTTAGATGGACCACCTATTTGCTTTCATCTTTACGATGAATGTTTTATACCTCAGGGACCACAAATGTAGAAATGTGGTTCCCACCACATGAAACAATTTTATTTTATTTTATTTTTTGGGTTAATTTAGTGGGAAGACCAGCCCTACCTGTTTTTCAATTAGATTAAGAGTTAACTTTTATAAGGTATCAGTGACGAGGTATTAATGGTTGGAATGGAAAACGCAATATGGTGACTAGGGTATATAGTGCTACTGCCATGACGCTAGCCCCTTTCCCAAACCTCCTAGTAATATGCAACTTTGTCATCATGCATTAGATTATTGTATCTCAAGTTTTTTAGAAACCGGTAATTTGCAAATTTGTGAACTTTTGTGGGATATTTATATCAATATCTATACTACATTATTAAGCCATAGTTAAAGGGTGGACCAGTATCCGTAAAATCGAACTGGAACAGTTAACTGGACATGGGCCTAGAAGCGGTTTAACCGGCCGATTCAACTGCTCTAATTGGGCAAGTCTTGGGCAGTCAAAAAAGTATTTAAACAAAATACAAAAAAAAAATCTACTAAATTATGAAAAATATATAAAGAGTAATTAAAACAAAACACATTCAAATGAAGTTGAAAATTAATGAAAAAAATGGATTTTAACCCATTTTATATTTTCCAATAGCTATTTAAAAAAAAATTAAAAAAAAAGAAAATATAAAAGTGAGGATTAATGAACAAAACAAGTTTAATCTTTACCATAATGTAAAGAATATTTAAAAATGTATTACAAATCAAATTCCTTATTTTTGAGAATTTATATACTTTTTTTTTTTTTAAATACAGGTTGATCACCCTAACCGCCCAAAACCGGAACCGGCCAGTTCTAATCGGGCAGTTAGCAGTTAGATCGGGGCAATTTTGTGAACAATGGGGTGGACACATGTCGTGAAAATAAGAAGATGTCCTAATTCTATAGAGATTATAAGACACATTCTAACTTTCGGGGAAGAGAGAGCTAGAGTAGACATTTATTTTAGAAAAAGTTCATATAGAGCCGAGGCTCTAAGCAATCAAATTCGAGCCCACCTCAAAAATTTCATTGGAAGAGGTTGTTTTGATGCCCAAATATCCTAAATTTGAATCTATTTTTCTCATTTTTATACATCTAGAGGTTGAGATAATCGAATTGAGGGTTTTCCGGCATCGAAAAAACCTCTTCTAGTGAATGTTTGAGGTGTGTCTTAATTTGATTGTTTAGGGCCTCACCCATACATAAACTCTTTCCTTTGTTTTAGGAAGCGGAAGCTCTAATGTTTGCAAAATTGAACTGGAACAATTAATCGGACATGGGCCCGGAAGCGGTTTAACCGGCCTAACCGGTAAACCAACCGATTCAACTGCTTTAACCAGGCAAGTTCCGGGCAGGCAAAAAAAATATTGGAAAAACTAAAATAAAATACAAAAAAAATCTAATAAAATATGAAAACCATATAAAGAATGATTAAAATAAAAACACATTCAATGAAGTTGAAAATTAATTAAAATTTGAACTTTAAAGAATCGATTTGTGTCTAAAGATATTTTTAAAATTTTCTAAAAAAAAAGAGAAAATATAAAAATGAGTATTATCTACCGAAGCAATTATTAATCTTTATCTTAATGTAAAAAATATTAAAAAAAATACAATCAAATTTTTTATTTTTGAAACTTTATTTATGTTCGTTTGAGATTTTTTCTTTTTAAATACCGGTTAATTACCCGTAAAACCCGAAACCGCCACTGGCGCGTTCGCCCGGTTTTTCCAGGGCGAGCCATTCGAAGGCAAAAAAAACTCAACCTTAAATATCTCTGAATTTTCTTCAGTTTTCGGCGATAAATCAGTGAGAATTAGGGTTTTCCATATCGCTAGTATTCGTCTGGCGTTGGTATTCATCACCCATTTGTCTTTCTCCTTTCATTTTTTATGTGATTTTATTTGCAATCTGTGTATAAAATTGTTATTTCCTTGTATGTTCTTTGATCGTAGAGATATTTGACAATCAGGGTTTGGTTTAGGATTTAAGGTTGGAGCTTGTTAGAAATTTTGCGGGTGTGTTTTCCTGTTTTGTTCCCCATTTCTCATTTGATTTATTTTGGTTTTACCGAACTAAATTGTAAGTTTCTCTTGCGTATATGGAGAATTAGCGTTTTGGGAATTAGGGTTTTGGTTTTTCTGGTTTGATTTTTATTGAGGAGATGAGGTTGTTGAAGGTTGCTACCTGCAATTTAAATCAATGGGCCATGGATTTCTCTCATAACCTAAATAACATTAAGGAGTCGATAGTTAGGGCAAAAGAAGCGGGAGCTAAAATTAGAGTTGGGCCTGAGCTCGAGATCACTGGCTATGGGTGTGAAGACCACTTCTTGGAAAATGATACTACTTCCCACGCGTAAGTAAATGACTTTTAGTTCCCCTCTCTCTCTCTCTCTCTCTCTCTCTCTCTCTCTCTCTCTCTCTACTCTACTACTACTACGTACTTACGTTACGTTATTAGTTACTTACGTTACGTTACTTACTTACTTACTTACTTACTTACTTACTTACTTACTACT